TGTTTCGGGATGGTAGTGGCGGGTTTTGATCTGTGTTTTGTTGTTTTTGGTTGTGATTTTGTATACACAGTCAAAAAGGTCTAAATTAAATCAAAATGTTCATATGTTGTGCAGTATCCTTAAATTTCCTGTGTGTGCCCAGGCTGGACAGTTATTTGTTAAACAATATATATACATTCATGACATTTCATAGTTTTGCATTTGTGATTCCCCCTCAAGAAATTTCAGCGTAAATGAAATCGCTCATTTAATGTAAATACCTTCATGTTGTTCAAAGTCTTGTTCAAAATGGCTTTCCGAGGAAACCAGACATTTTTTTTGCATACCTATCAGAGCTTTTTATAGCTTCAAGATGCTTTTTTGATAATAAGTAGCAGGAGGATGGTAGTTTTGTTCTTTTTTGCTTCTGCTCCGTAAAATAGTCTTTCATTTCTAAAAATATTAATAGCTTGACATTTATCTGATGCATGTTGACATTTGGCTCCCTTGATGACTGCTGAGTGTAATGCTCCTTGAAGCTAAATCATTGGACCTATTTTTTTTTTCCAAATTCAGATGTCTGTATTTCTGGAAAAGGTTGATAATTTAAATAATTGATCTTTATCAAGGACAATCATGTGGCATCAAATTTAAGACATAAACAATATTTCCTCTGCTATGTGTAATGACAGTGATTAAAATCTTAGCTCAAATAAAACAATTATAGATTTTTAAAGTCATTTAATTTCTTAGTTATGGAGTACTTTAATTTTTAGTTTTAAGATATTTATACAATGAGTTTACAATTAAATTGGTGGATATTCTAACAAAGTGCCCAACAATAATATAATTTTTGTAATTAATTGGTTTTCATGTCATAACATTTTAAAATGAAATATTTTTAAAAAACAAAATTTTGGTTCCTAACAATTATAAGCTGTTTCTTATTAATAGCACATTTAAATTAAGCCAGTCATTAGAGCGTTGACATCCATTTGCATTGCTGTGTTTAAAGAAACTGATGTGATCTTTTTGGAAAGAAATACATTTTAATAAGATGCAACTGAAAATGTTTAAGACATCAGACTTTGTGCATTGCATCATTCTCCAGGGATGGGTGTACTGTCCTTTCTCCCACAGTTGAGGCAGCGATTAGTATAATATAAATCAACATCTATTTAATGGGTGTGAATTCAAAACTCCATCAATTAAAAGCAGAAAAAATATGTCAGACTTTCAGTCTTTATTAGAAACGGGGCAAAAAAGGTCAAATAGTTTTTAGTTGTAAAACTTTTACAACATATAATTTATCAATAGTCATCAATTTATCAGTCTTGTGAAATCTGTAGACCATGCACACCACAGGTTTGTTGCACATGTTCCGCTTAGTTTCTCCATAGTTGTGTCATTCATCATCATAGTGAATGTCAGTGTTCATAAATTTGCTTCATACATATGAATATTGTATATGCTTGAGTACTGTAGCCTTCACCCATTGATTTGTTACAAAAAAAATCTTGAAGTTTCTTCAACCAATAAGCTTGCTGTATGTTTGTTAGTTTGCCTAAATTGTGAGACAATATGTGTGAGTCTAAATATGTTCCATATGCATAACAGCTCATATCCATTTTTGGTGGCCACGTCCTTCATATAAAGCTGAGCTGATCATTCATCTGCCTCACTCTCTAGTTATGAGCTGTGGTGATGATGTGGTTCCTCCTTTTCCTCTGCATAGCTCATATTGAGCCGGTGATCTTACAAGGCAAGTTAAAGCTATTCTCTTTAGATTTAACTATCGATATGTGTAACAAATTAAAATTGGATAGTTGTTTACCTAATTCAACACTTTTTGAGATGAGAAAAAAATTATCATCCAGTGCTCCAGGCTTTCCATATACTATATTTAAGTCAATAATAGCTATTTTTGGAAGGTAAGCACAACAGCACAGAAGTTAATCTAAAAAAGATAATAGTTTATGTTTAATACCGTATGCATTGAAAACTTGTGATGTTGTCTTTATGTTAATTTCCATGGGATTATTTTCCTATCTTCTCTAAGTGTGGTCATTCAATTTGAGAGCATGATTTATTGATTTTGCATTCAAGATTTTTAAGGCTTTCCCTCAAAACCCACGACTCAAACAGCCCCTGCTTGCGGTTAGATTCTTCTCAAAGTGTGTGTTTAAACTCAGATATATTGTTGCTTGCACAGATTTCCAGCTCTCCAGCTTCAGCCCTTCTCCTTACTCTCAGGCTGTTCCAGTCTGCTCGTGAAACGTTTGCCCCCAGATTTCTGCTCTGCTCTGAAATTTTTTGTGCAATAATCCTGTCAAAATCCCCCAACCAATAGAATGCCAGGTGTAGAGCTGACTAAACACTTAGATGCGGGCGCGTTAGCTTTACTTCTTATAACATCATGTACATTACCCTTTTATTGAGTTCATCCAACTTCCGCTTTCACAGCTTTATTATACTTCCTATGCTTTCTTTACAACTTTTGGAATAAAAGGAGAGTTATTACAGTATATCAGCACCCATTCTTTTTAATTTAACAGATAAAACCCATATACTGTAATAACTTAATACCACACCAGCCTCGGGTGCTAGAGGAGAAAACGTCACGTTAGTGAGTCCTCATCTATGTTTTTTATTTTAACGGTGCTATTACTTCCTTTATATTGAAGTGATAAAGTCATATTTGCAGCATAAGCTATTATATAGTCAAAAAGTGGTATACCACTGGTATATGTAATAACTGTCCTTTTTTGTCAAAAGTTGTAAAGAAAGTATGGAAGCATATAAAGCTAAGTATAAAGCTGTGGAGGGCAGGAGTGGATGAACCCAGTAAAAGAGAAATGTACTGGATGCTATAAGAAGTAAAGTGAACGTGCCCGCATCAAGGCAGGGAACATTTGATTGGTCAACACTACACCTGGCATTGTATTGATTCGGTGGTTTTTGCACAAAAAATCTGAGAGCAGAGCAGAAATATGACAGCATCTGTTTCACGAGTACGCAGAAACAGCCTGAGCGCAAGAAGGGCTGAGGCTGGAGCGCAGATATACATAACTGAGTTTAAGCACACATTTAGAGCAAATGCGCAAGCAGAGGCTGTTTGAGTCCAAGGACAGGGTTTTGAGTGAAAGCGTTACAAAATCTGAACTTGAAACCACTAAGTAATGCTCTTAAATCTAGACCACGCTCTTGATGGGAAAATAAACCTGTAATTTGTAGATGTGTAAAAAGATGCAGGCATAGTCAATTTTCCATCAATTTCTATTATATCAGTGAGCTTGTCAAACTTTTGCCACATTTTCATTTTCCATGAAATAATTCTGAAAATTATCAAAAGTTCTACCACACATCCTCTGACAAATTCACGTCTTTTAACACAAATGTCCATTATTTAAAAACAAAACATTTACATCAAAATTCTTTCAAAATTGTGTTAGGCCTATATGTTGTTCAGTCAATTTGGTTGGAGAGCATTCTATAGTTATCTTAATAAGTTGTAAAGCACCACAATCAGGAAAAATTACTAAATGGTCCAATACTACATCTGGCCGCTGTGCAAAATTTCATGACTTTGCTAAATTACATTTAATAAAATCAAATAGGAAGAAGATATGAGAGAAAGAAACAGAACAAAAACCTAATACCTAAATCTTAATTTGAATAATATTTTCAACTTGAACAACATTATTATTGCCAATTAAGCAAATAATAATTAAAGTTTATAAAGTTTCCAAAGCTGAATTCATATTTACAATACTTGGATTTAAATGGAGCTTTTCTGTCAAGGAAACTACTGTTTTTCTGATAATTAGTACCAAATGACATAGTCCAAATCAGGAAACAGTAGAGGAAATTATTCTGAAATTACAGATTTGTAAAATAAAGAGAGGATTGTAATACATCTTAATATATAGTTTGGGGTGCAAGCATTTCGTTTTACAACCCTGTTGTAATATGACAATTAAATGTAGCTTGAACCTTAAACCTTATTTCTCTGTTACACAATTTATTTACTTTGGATGAAATATTTTGGACTGACATTATCATTAAATAGCAACACATGAAAGGGCATTTAAAAGATTAAAAGAGTCAGAGTTTTGCACAAACTTATGCAAAGTTGTAGAATTTGACTCATTTAAAAAGAAATGTTACATAGCCATGGTTGATGGTTCAGAAACAGGTATGGATCAGGTATAAAACAATTTGATAGCAACCTCAAAATTTACAACAAATAAATGAATAAAGGCTACAAAATGGAAACTTATAAACTAATATGTTTATCCGTACATAATTCTATATATCTCCTGCCATGTAACCAGATGAAAACAGACTGATTCTAAGGGGATGGGAGCAGACCGTGTGAAGGCCATGTTGAAATCTATCATGAGAAGAAATGGGGCTACGTTGGAGATAAAGGCTGGAACAGGGCTACTGAAGAAGTGGTGTGCAAAAGCATAAACTGTGGGGAACCTATGGAGGACTTAACAGTGGATGTGAAGTGGCCCTTTGGTAACAGCACAGTCTGGCTCAATGAATTAAAGTGCAATGAAAACCATAAAAATCTGTGGGACTGTGATTTTCCTGGCTGGAACATCAGCTTTTACAAAAAATGGACAGTGAAAAAGATAACATGTAGAAGTAAGCTTAAACTTTTGGTTTTTTTACATTTGTTGAGATACATGTTGTTGAGAAGTACACCTTTGAATAATGATCATGATGATTTTTGGCAGTTTGTTTTATTTGTAATTGACGGTTACTTGTTTTTGCTCTTCTAGATAACATTAGCATAAGCCTGGATGGATATGACTGTGCAGGAGCTGTCCAGTTTTCCATAAATGGGAAAAAAAGTTACTTTTGTGACTTGGGTAAGATTAGGCAACATGCATACAGAACAGGATTCACTGAGTGATTAATGTGAAGTGCAATGTGAAGTACATGAAGTAACTAATATTGATTAACACAGAGTGGCAATACAGCATTTCCTCAATGGGACAGAAATATTTTTTAGAAAAAGGCCAATATGTCTTCATAATGACATTTTGGATCTTGTTTTGTACACACTCTCATTATCCTCGTTCCATTAGCTTCCATACGTACCGTAACGCAACTTCGCTGTTTTGAGTTTGATTATATTTTTCTTCTCCTTTCTAATCTTACCACTTATTTGAGTATCACAGTACTGTGAAATTGTTTAGTACTATGATAATGATATGTAAATATTGTGATTCATTTCACATTAAGGTGAAAGAGAAGCCAATTTTTTGTGCGAAAGCCTCAATTGCAGTGCGTCCAAGGAGATCGTTAAGGAGGAATGGATGGGTTGGAAACACTTACAAAACTCAGAGATGACCCTCAACTGTGCAGGCATTAATGATGTACAAAATCTGTGGCAGTGTGCAAAGCAGGGACCACAAGTATGCAAAAATCCTGTTTCTGTCATATGCAAAGGTAACACACACTCACACATAGTAACTAAGTTTAGTCATTTGTTGCAACATATCAGTGAATTAAGAAAATAGTTTATTTAAACAGGTCATAAAAGACTGCAACTCGAAGGAGATCCATCAAATGTATGTTCTGGGAATTTGCAAACGATGGAAAATGGCAAATGGACTTATAACAACAGCAAATCCAGCCTTAATGTGTGCCAACAAATGAACTGTGGTACTGTTTATAAGCAGACAGGCGATAAAGTGACATGCACAGGTAATTCAACCTTTTAATGTTCAACCACATTTCTCGCACACTTTCTCGCAAGCAACCACATTGTTATTGTATTTCCAGATCAAAACAACATTTTCATCCTGATCTTGTTTTGTCTTTTCTATTATTATTTCAACTGAAACAAATATACATCTAAAAAACAAGCATTTTTATTCACCCTCTATATTACTATATTTTTATTTTCCACAGACAATATTAAAGTAGTTCTAAGGGAAAACAACAATCCCAGCACCTGCTATGGTGCAGTACATATTCAAGTGAATAATTTATCGCTGCCTGTGTGTGGCAACAGCTGGACCGAGAAGAATGCTGAAGTAGTTTGCAAGGAGCTAAACTGCGGGAAGGTGAGTTCTTAGTGTCCAGTTTCAGTGGCACAAACAAAATATTTGTATTTAATGCAGGCCTTTGTAATGTTGTGACAATTGCAGGACGATGCTAAATGTTGTCATCAAAATATCTACATACAATTTACTAACATAAAAAAGGACAGTGAACTAAACACAGGGGTGTATTTTGTTTTAGATCATTATTCATTTAGCTTTTCACTTTCTTGCTAAGCGACGAGCATATTGTCCAAAATGTCAAACTATTCCTTTCAAGTACAGTATTATATCTATGTTTTGAGTTTTATCATTATTATTATTTTTTATTGTTATTGTTAGTTTTGTTTGTTATTGTAGTTTGGTTTATTATTATCTTAGTTTCTCTCTAACTTACTGCTCTTTTTGAGTCAAGCAAAGTTTTCTATTTGACAAAAATGAATGATATCAAAAATGATCTCCTCTAGGTGGTTCCTTTTGATAAGACGAAAAAAACAACAACAACAAGAAGAGGCATAATGGACTATGTGAAATGCTCAGGCGAAGAGTCTTCACTATGGCACTGTAGGGCCAAGCGTGACAAAACACCTTTCACATGTGATTCCATGGCCTACGTAGTCTGTGCAGGTGATGTGTGTGGCGGTGATCCTAGTTTTTATATTAACATTTGTGGCTTTTGAGATTAAAAAATAATACCTGGCCTGACTAACTGGGGATTTCTAAGTTCACTGATGAATGTCAATAAGTACAACTTTACTTTGACATGGTGGAAGCAAAAATGTGACAGCTATGTAATGGCATGCTGTAATACAAAGTTTATGTACAATTACATTTGTTTCTGCCCAAATGTATGCTGTAAGAGCTTTTTATTTAGTATTTCCCTGTGTTTGACAATTCTCTTCCTGTCATGGTGCAGCTAGTATTGACGTGAGATTAGCGGACGGTCCTGGAAAATGCGCTGGGAGAGTAGAGATCAAGCATGAGGGCCAATGGAAAAGAGTCAGAAAAAACAATTGGAAAGAAACCAACTCAGATGCTGTCTGTAGACAACTGAAATGTGGAAATAAAGGAAAATCCAACAGTTCTGAAAAATTCAGTAAGGGTTCAGGTGATTTCCTGGCTCACAAAGTAGACTGCAGTGGAAACGCCGCAAACATAAATGAGTGTTTTGAAAACAAACAACAAAACCAAGAAACCCAACGTGCAGAGGACGAGCCAGTGGGGATAATCTGTGAGGGTGAGTGTTTTTTCAGTTATTCTGTTTTGCCCTTTGACCTTCTCTTGTGGTATGTGACATTGTGGCACATGTGGCATTCTCCAGTTCTATACAGTGACAGTAGAGGTGTTCAATGAAATGTATTAATTCATTAATTTCACCAACTGGGGACAGCAGCTGTAAACGCAATTGATATCACCTCAAAAAATTGTGTGTTGGTTAACATTTTAGCAAACGTTAGTCGTTTAATTACACATCTGGCACAAAGCAACATTGGTGTCCATTTGGTAGTAGGTAATAATTTTGATATGGATAATTCTGTGTGGGTTTGCCAGAACAAGTGACAAGAGCTGGCCTTAGCTATGTTTAACCTGTTTTATTTTAAACTGGCCCCGCCTTCCAAAGGGCTTCTACTGACTTGAAGAATTGAATAATCCACCCACTTTAAGCAGGCCTACTTATTTCACTTAATGTGTCCAGACATGGTGCTGCAACCCCACCAGCCCCTTAAAATTAAACATTCGTAAAATACATCAACTGATAATAAAAAAAAGTGTGATGCAGTCTGCAGACTGGCAGCAGAGCGTGACGTTCTTTGATCCTGAAGTCTAATGTTGCTGCAGTTCTGTGGTTTTTCTTGTTCAAAATGTGCATCTCACATTGGTTTCAATTTCCCAATTGGGATCAAATACATTAATAAAAACTTTGATAGTGGCTGGTGCTAAAACGGATCTCAGTCATGACAGCAACAGCTACTCACATAATCACGTCCTCTTATGTGACTGTGCCTACAAAATAAAAACCCAAGAAAGTTTTTTGCAGCAATGCTTCATTTGGAATTTTACTGAAACGTAAATCCACTGAATAAGAAGTGCAGGAATTTCCTCTGCCTGGAGATGCTGGGGAAATGAAAATAAGCGTCCATAGGTTGATGGATGTGGATCAATCGAAAAAAGCACAATATTCCTATAGTCATTGTTTATATAAAATATAGTGATATAATATTACTATTGATATAATACTTTTATTAGCAATACTACCTTTCTACTACTAATTCACTTTTCAATGGACAAGTTGTCATATTTCTTTTTTATTACACACAGTTACATGCTTCTGTTCTGTGAATTTTATGTTACCAAATTGTATCAATAAAATATGCCCATATTTAAAAATTCCAACAAAATGGAGCACGCTGAAAAAGGTTTTGGTTTTGAAAAAAAATTTCAATCAAAATATCACAGCTCAAAATGTACTCCAAATGCCTGAGCTGAGCATTTAACCGCTCAGGGAAAAACATAACAAAAACAAAACAAACAAATCCAAAATATGTACATATGTTTGTTTAGGTTTTCTGGACTGAAAACAACATTCTTCTTCTTTTCTTTTAACAACCTAGGTCCAGAGTTACAGTTTAATGTTGAAACTACATCTCTACAATTTTCTGAATCTAAAGAAAATTTATGTAATTGCTAACCCTATTCAAGTTTGTGTGGGGGCTTGAGACTATCCCAGCGTACATTGTGAGGGAAAAGGGAGACAGGACAAGTTGCCAGTCTATCACAATTCTAACACTTTCTCTCTTTCCTCCTTTATCTCTGTTAGATCACAAGGTGGTATTTCTGAAGGGAAAAAAGGCCTGTTCTGGCACCGTGGGGATAGAACATGGCACCAAAACCCACTGGCTCTCCGGGTCTAACGAGACATGGAACCAATACTCTGCAAACGCAGTATGTCAGCAGATGCACTGTGGGAAAGCCACCCAGTATAACTTCATCGATAGTAAAATGTTCAAAGAAGGAGTTTGGAAAGAATCTTACAGCTGCTTACCCAACACCAAATCTCTGTTTGAATGTGAAAACAGAACATTGCCATCTAACCACAGTGACACTATTGCCAGTGTGACATGCTCAGGTAATGTAAGGCAGTGTTGAAACTGAAAACTGAAATGCATTATTTATTTGTCATGTCATTTATTTTTGTCACTGGTTGTCCTGTGGTCCAGTTGATGCATTTTACACTATGCTACTGAAATTGGCCTGATAGGGGTGCTTTAAAATTTCTGACTTTTAATGGTCATAGCTACACTATTACTGGCCTGACATGGATACTACAATCAGACTTCTACTCCACTGGTCCATTTTTATAGAAACCTGTCCTGTCTTAGACTGGTTTGAGACATGCTGTAGTTGTGAAATGATCTGCTGATGCAAGTCTGCAAAGATCTTCTTCACCTGTTTTGCTATTTGCTTTTTTGTTGGCACAACAGGAAAAATCAAAATAAACCTGACCAATCAGTGTCATGGGCGCGTCAACGTTTGTGTGAATGAGACATGTGGAGGTGTGTGTGCAGACACCTGGACAGAACAAATGTCTTTGATGCTGTGTAAAAACCTCGGCTGCGGGGATAAAATCCTACGTCTACAAAAAAAGCATGAAATAAGTAACGTGATCATCCAGAGCTTGCACACTACACAGCACACCACCAAAGTGAACCAGTGCAACTTGGTCAGAAGGGCTGAAAATGATGAAGCCTGTAAGAACAACGCAGCCTATGTTGCTTGCTCAGGTAATGGATTGTTTGAAAAATATTTATACGTTCAAAAACATATTTGTAAAAATCTAAAAATATGATCACAATGAGATAGTAATCTGTTTGCTAGATAGTTTGCTGAACATCTCAGAGATTCCAGATAAATCTTGGAAATTTCTTAAATAACAACTTTCTGGCTATACGTCAAGATAATGCAGGATAGGCCAAATAATTTTACACCTTAACAAAAGTCCCTTGAGCGTATCTTTTCACTCCTAAAAATAATTCTTCCAACTTCGTTATAGGTGTGTCCCATCTGAAACAAACTAAAGCTGATGATACACGGGACAGCTTTTTGAGCAATGTTGCTGGGAAATCTTGCACGTGGCAAGTCCGACTATGTTTTGAACAGCGGGGCGGGGTGGCGGGTCAGTGGGGGGAGGAGGGTTACGGTGGTAATCTTTACTCATTACCATTGACGCAACATTGCTCTAAAAGTGTATCAATAGGTTAAGACAACTCTTGAATACAATTAAAACCAAATTTATGTCAAGCAGAGCAGATACACTTTGTAAACTTTGGTCATGTCTCTCTATGAGACTGATTTTCTTAAACTTAAGTTTATCTTTGCACAAAGCTGACATTACTGACTATAATTGTGTATTTTAATCCAGAACCAGATTATTTTTTTCTTGTTTGTGTTATTAAAATAACAAATATCATGAAAAAACAGAAGAATGACAACTCTGTACCTTTCATTGTTTTATTGCAGGTAGTGTCAAGGCCGAAATGTCTTCCAGTAACAAATGTTATGGAAATGTCGTGCTGCACTATGACGACCAGTGGCTCCCTGTGTGTAAGGCTGCTCTTAACGACACGGAAACTCGAAACGCCATCTGTGGGGACCTGAAATGTGGTCATGCTCTCAAGACGATTGACTTTGGACCATCAGTAAGCGGTCAAGTCATTTCAGAAATGAATTGTTCTGCAAACGGCAAGGAGTCATTACAAGCTTGTAATATCACTTCTACCACGAGCACCTGCACTCATGGTTTCCTCAAATGCGCCGGTATGTGTAAAGATTTTGTTTCATATTAGTCACTTTCAAAATGTTTTCATTAACCCTATACTCTGTCACCACACTACCTAATTTGAGATTGCTGAAGTTTTTCTTTGAGCATTCAAGCATATTTGCGACCTTCTATAATGGAAGAGTTCCTTATTTAGTGAAATAAACTATTCGCTTTATTGCCGAGACTTCTTAGATTTAGATTGATACCTCTTTCGTGTCTTTCAGACAACTATGAGGCTAATGCCAGGAGATTATTAGCATAATTTTGCATAAAGACTGGAAGTTGCGGCAAACAGCTAGTTTGGCTCAGTCTAACAATTAATATTTCTTGGCCAGCATTGAAGCCTTCAAGTCACAATCTTTGTGCTAAGCTAAGCTAACTGGCTGCTGGTTGTAGCTTCATATTTAACGTAAAGATGTGAGTGGTGGGCTATCAAATTTCTTATCTTATCTAACAGCAAAAGAACAAATAAGCATATTTCCCAAAATGTTGAACCATTTCTTCAGCAGCAATACAAAACTTTCGTCAAGGTTACACAATTAAAATATAAGCTAATATTTAGACATAACTAACATGTGCAATACTGTGCAATATGCAACTGTTAAATTGGTGGAGGATCACAGTGTAAGCTAATTCTCACAAGTTTGTGTCCTCAGCATGTTATCTGCATCTTGAGTTCCTGCTAATTACATCACGTTTTGTGAGTTTTATGTTTCCCGAATCTTATCTCATCTATCCCTGTTGCTTATCTCAGGCTGGAGTCAGATGGCGGTGGAAGGCGACAAGTCCTGTAGTGGAAATGTGTTGGTTTTCTCAGAAAGAGTAAACATGACAGCTTTTCCCCCTGACAAGTGGACAGACACTAGGGGGGAATAAGTTTTGCCAGGATCTGGAATGTGGCAACTTAAAGTCAAAACAAGACAATTACATTGCAGCAGCAGCAGCGGCTATTTATTGAATGTGAAGGTAAATTTTGTTTATGCAGAATTGCTGTCAAATGATCACACTATCTTTACAGTTGTATCTGAAGCCACCTCATAGTGAAGCACGGACGCCGGAAGCAGGAGAAAACAACTAGCCTGGCTCTGTCCAAAGTTTTAGCAGCTAGCTGTCATGTCTAATAATAAAGTACTAGTTACTGTGGTAGAGGTATCTCAGCAGAATAAGTGTTAGTTATTTTAACCTCCACACACCATGAATCTGGCAGATGCTGGAGAAGTTGAAGAGTTGAATTTTCATAGCTGGCACAAGTACACACTGTATACTTCTTTCAAAGCAAATGATGAATGTGTTGTTCATTCAGGTTTTTTGCATCTTTGCATAAAGGGATATAAGGGTCATTGTTAAATTAACTGATGTGTGGATTAATATAAACCCTGGCAGTATGTGAAATTCTATATTCCACACTTTGTAACTCCCGAGAGCCACATCCTGTAGCACTCACTTTTCACTGTTAATGAGTGTTGTCAGTGGCATTTGTTAACTGTTGATTGTGTGTTTACTTATAGAGTGCTATAACAAGTTTTACAACTGTTAAAGGAACTCTGCTGGTATTTTGCCATTGGAAAAAAATCTGATTAATTTCTTTTTTACTGCTTTTGTTCCTGGTTTTATTTTGTCTTGTTAATTTCCTTCCAAGGTGAGCATAGGGTCAACCTTTCAGACAAGTGCCATGGTGACGTGAAGATAAATGGAGTTGAAGTGTGCGACAGTGACTGGGAAGACTTCCAATACCACTTGGTTTGCCAAGCTCAGGACTGTAGCAACGCTGTTGTTAAAATCCCCAGTGTTAGAAACCCTAATCCAGCTGTGGACTACCATCATGTCAAATGTGAGAAGCACCATTACAAACTTAGCCAGTGCCTTCATTTCAAGGGAAAGTGTAACAGAGAATTGGTATCTGTTTACTGCACTGGTAAGTATGTGTATATTTGTGCTTTCTGTACCATCAAAGATGCAGAATATTCATGTAAAATGTTGAGGTAGCACAGCTGTTCACTGCTTCTTTTAGGGTCAATATTATGCATGTTTACGTGCATTTTCAGGAACTCCCTTAAAAATGTATTTTTCAGGATCTTAACAGCCAACAGTGAAATGGTGAATCCATTCCAATAATTTGTATAACAGAAATAGTTGCTACATTTAGCTCACTGTCTTTTAGCTCCAGCTTCATATTTAACAGACAGATCTGTACATTCTCTTTCACTCCTTGCAAGAAAGCAGATAAGGCTATTTCTTAAATTGTTAAACTCAACACAATTAAACACCATTTCCTAAAGTTGAAGACATGACATTGAATACTTTTTCTATATTTATTTTGCAGAGAATGTCAAGTTCAATACTACAGAAAAATGTGGAGGTCAGATTGAAGTCAATTATCGAAATAAGTGGGAAAAAGTGTGTCCCCTGAATCCATCATTTACCTCTAAATTTAAGGAAATGCTGTGTAAAAACCTTAACTGTGGTGGTCTCGCTCTTAAAATACAGAACAACAACAACAAGAAAACGGTAAGGTCCCACTAATTAATTAATTAATTAAGCCCTCATTTAGCTGTCAGGCATCTCTTTATTCTTTTGAATGGCTATGAAATTGTATTATTCTGAAGACTAAAGTTTAAATTTCAATTTCAAGGACATCTTGGAAACACACCTGCATTGCACAACTGATCACATGGACATCAAACACTGTGTCATCCACGAGCGTTGTTCAAACGTTACACCAGCTGAGATCTACTGTGATGGTAATCAAACATAAATTCTTTCCCAATAAGTCAGGCTGGTTCCTAAAACTTTCATTTAGTTGTTTTTGTGTAAAGCAGAATATTGTATTCTGTAACTAATTAACATATTGTAAAACTAATTTCTTATTTGATTAACATGGCACAGCATAACTAGATGGACGAAGCAGTCCTACTCAGAATGCAGAAAAGGCAACGTGGCTGTGTTTGCTTTCAGGGTATGTGATAAAACTACCGCCCACAGGGCCACCCAGGCCAATCTCCATAGTGCCTATTCTCCTGGGAGTAGGATTACTTTTGGTTCTGGTGATAGTGATTGTTGTGTTTATAAGAATCTTCATTGTCAAGAAAGCCAAGAATGTCTCATGTGAGTATATTATTCTATTACGCTTATCTTCTGTTATTACAACTTCGGTTAAAATTACTGTTCGATACTTTGTTACACTTTTAATGAATTAATTTGTAAAAGGTTTACCATTCCAACAAACAAAATCAATCTACCCAATAATTCTAATCAATCCAGTGTATTGACAAGGTGTACTATAGCCTTTTTACCACAAGAGGCCAGTCTTTCTGCATGTTAATTAAATTAAACTGCTGCTTTTTTCCCCAGCATTTATATTTCAGCTCTTAGAAACCAGTACATCAGTTCTGCTCACCAATGCTAAATAAAACAAACATCTTACATTCATTAAAAAGTCCAAACCTTCTTCAGAGTTGTAAAATGTGCATGTTGTGTGTCCCAACTGTTTTTCTGGCTTTTGTGCTGTCATTTAGTGTTTCATTAAAATGAAACAGTTGTTTATTATATACCAGTAAATGTCTAATGCTTCTTTAATGTAGCGAGAATGTTCCCAAGACAAGAAGTAGAGTTTGAAAGTGGCGACTATGAGGATGTCAAAAGCAAAGAAAATGAAATGGAAGAATCTCATCGTGGCAGTAAGTCTCAAAACATATTCATTCATTTACATTATGTATATAGTAATGTTCTTAAATAATAAATATAGAATAGTGAACCCAATCCCCTTATTACTATATTTATATTATTGTGCTTTTATGTTATTATTACATATATAGTTTATATCATAGTATTTTTTTCTATTATATACTTTCTATTTTTGTATTACTACTATATAGTACATGCATATTTAAACTTGATTTCAAAGTAAAAATAAGCACAGATTCAGAATATGGTGAAAATAGCTTTCATGGCGGAGTTTATTTTAATGGTTTAAGAAGAAGAAGAAGATACTTTATTGTCACATACACATCCATGTAGCAAAATAAATTTTTTCATAATGGAAACACAGGGCTGTGTAATTTGAAATTTAGGGCAATGTGGAAGTATTTGCGAAAATGTTTTGTTTCTGTTGTTCACACAGGGTTCAGATCAGAGGCTGAAGTCATCACAGAGAGTGACACCAGGAGCAATGCCTCATTTTCATACGATGATATTGATGAAGCTGCTGAGGCTCAGCCCCTGACCTCTAAGGCCGCCACTGCTGGTCCCACAGGTGACAATTATATCCATGAGGGCGCCCTCGATCAAAGCAGAGGAAAGCTTTGAATCATCTTTGTCACACTTAAAGGTTCAGTGTGTAATATATATGAGGATCTATTGACAGAAATGCAATATAATATGCATAACTATGTTTTCAGTGGTGTATAAAGACCTTACATTATGCACTGTTGTGTTTTTTATTACCTTAGAATGAGCCATTTCTATCTACATACACTGCGGCTCCTCTTACATGGACATCGCAATGTTGTGCTGCCATGTTTTTACAGTAGACAAAACATTTTGTCAATACGTTTAATATGTAAGAAAAAGAAAAACAACAAGTAGTAGTAGTCAACTGGTTTATTAGAAGTGAGAAAAGACAAATTTGGACAAATATAGGCCCACAGGTATGTTTTAGCACAAGAACACACCGTAACTTCTCCTTTGCTTTGCTTCTCCTGTGCACTTTAAAAGGGAGAGGGTGAACGGTGCATTCATGTGGTGTTGGAATAACAATTGCCACCCTCACCATTAGATGCCACTAAAACTTACACACTGAACCTTTAAATACCAAATCTTGACAAATCCTCGCATTGTCAGCACTCAGCTAATTTTAATATGCTGTTTTTGTCTTTAACAGATGAGGTGACCTATGAGGTGGAAGACCCACAGGAGAATTACGACGACATTGAAACCAGCCCTGAAATCTCTCAGACTAAAGTTGAAGTCCACGACAGCCCCCAAACCACACCTGAAAGTATTGCAGCGGCATCTCCAGCTTTGGTGCAGGAGGATGAGGACTACCTGGTGCCGGGCCATGATGGGTGAGCCAAAACTGGGTTTAAAATCTGCTATAATCAAATCAAATCTGGCAAAGTCGATCACCCCAAATCAAACCCCCTTTTACTCATATGGACAAACAATATAAGAGTAAAGAATCTTTTATGCAGTAGACATTTGCTGAAGTTGTTAAAATAAACTAAATCAAAATTGAGAGCATAAAAATCAGATTGCGTCCCTATATAAAAGCAATTCAAGTGAATGTATGGTTTGAAACTTAAAGATTGTGCAGTTTGTAAATAGGAAAAATTACATTTGTCAGAAAACATAATCTGAGTATGTAATACTAATTTGTGTACCACCCTGTGAGATTTAGTTATCTTTATTTCTTCTTTTACATAAGTGTGTATTATTAATGTAAAATGTGTTGTTGAGGGAAATTTGTGGTAAAATATTTTTTCTCTTGTGATAAAGATTTCACAATGCAAAGATAGTGTCGTGGAAAGGATTTTTATGTTTATATCATTCATTCTAATTATTAGTGCCTGTTGTTGATTTATTGGCTTTTATGAAATGTGCCCAATCACATGTTATTTTCTGATTAAATGTATGCCTACTTTAAAAAAAAAAAATTGATGGATATAGTAGTTGAGCTTCCATGGTTTCCGCAATATTATTTTGCTTGAGTTTGTCAATTTATCTATTAAATGCAATCCATCAATACACCTTTCTATAGTCATAAAATAAGCTCTATAATGCAAAGATATATGTTAAATAAATAAAATAAATAAATGTTACATCAGTCAAACTCCTTGTGTAACACGGCTGATACAGCAAACTCAGGTCATGTTATGACATTGTTACATTGCATATTTTATGTGTTTATGAGCTTTGTAAGAATGTTTAACCATGTTTTTAAGGAATAGATGCCAAGACTTAGATGAGAAGATTTATACCACTCTCATATCTGAACAGTAAATATGAAATTACAGCCAAAAGTTATTTTTACATAGCACAAAGACTGCAAACAGAGGGACACAGCTAGCCCGGCTCTTTCCAAAGGTAAGAAAAGACACCCAGAAGCATGTCTGAAGCTCACTGATTAATACATTTTATCTAGTTTGTTAAATTTGGACAAAACCACAGTCAAATCAAGAAGTTTTACAGCGGGTTATGTGCGAGACTATTCCTCGACAATGTGTTGTCTTCAGTGTTTGTAAGGTATCAATCTTCTCATTTAACTCTCTGCAAGAAAGCAAATACATGTAATTCCCAAAATGTCAAAATATTCCTATTTATCATGAATATAATGTTCAGTTAGCCATGAATGTCATCTTTATCGTTTGTCTTCAACAACACTGTAGGTGTTGTAAAGTACTTACTAAACTTGTATTTACTAAACTGATTAAAAAACAGTAAATAATAGTAATAGTTAACTGTCTCTTTTATGATCTCTTTCATATTTAAATTCAGTCAGTGCATCATACCATCATCTGTGCAGCAATTACTGTAACTTGTGACATTGGAACAATGAATAGCACTGCTTCAAAATGGATATGTACACCTATAGTGTGTGAGCCTTAAGTTAATGATTTACTGGGACTTTGTATGACCACTTTTAGATTTTATCCTCTACTTACAGCTAATGATGCCTCTGAGACTCCTGGGTTTTAGAAATGGCTCAGATGTTGAGTATCAAACTGTATGTTATATAAGTCATATATAGTTTGATACACAGCACAACAAGCCATTTTCTTCACAGCACATCGTTTGTACTCAAGATTGCCTGAAATGTACTGCTGATCTCATCAAGTAGTAAACATTTTGAATTTAGTTTTATCTCCATGCTGTTTTAGATTTTTTATAATCACTTAAACATACTCATAGACCACTTAAACCCAAGGTCAAGACATCGAGAGAGAGAGAGAGAGAGAGGGAGAGAGAGAGGGAGAGAGAGAGCGCAGCTGCTCACAACAAATGTTAACATGGGTAAGGCCAATCCAAAAGGGACTGACAGACATACTGGTGCTGCTTTTAAGAGATTGACAGACTTGCTAGGGCCTCACATGTTTTGTCAGGAGTTAGGCAAGGGCCACTAAGATCACAGAACGAACGATACACCCAAAGGGATTAATTTGTATGCAGCAGCCCCTCGTATGATATGTAAACATCACACCCAGTCTCGTTGTCAGAGGCCTTGCTGAGGGATCATGATGTAGGATTAGGTCTGCTGTGTGGCTGAAGCTGAAATAGATACAGCACAGATTTTCTGTTCTGTCTCAGTTGCCACTTCGTCACAGCAGGGCCCAGTGGGGCTTGCATGACCTGGGTGACCATAAAAGGCCTAAGCGCCGTGTTGTTTTATATGAATTTGTAACAGGAAATCCTCTTTGTTTACAATAGAAATGATTTCTGTTGATAACAAGGCAGCACTCTGGATAAAGCAGTGCTCTGCAGAATCCTTGTTTCTGTGATCCTCTGACCCTCTTTCTCCTGGCATTATAATATCACACTGATGTTTAACCTATTAACTTCAAATCATGTTTAACATATCATTTTCCAAAGGATACCACCGTTTTTAGCAACGCTAGCTGCAGAGCTCTGGGAATAACAGTGTTAGCCAGTTGGTCAGTCCATCACTTTGGTCCAGAGTGAAATTTCATCAAGTATTGGATGGATTCACATGCACTCTCATCGTCTCCAGAGGATGAAATCCTACTCACTTTTTCTCTATCACCATCATGAGGTTCGCATTTTTAGTTAAAATGTCGCAACACACATGTTCCACTCAGGTTCAGTTGCAATAACTTGAAACTGACTAACTGATCTCTTAACTCTTGATCTAACCATCCAAATCAAATGTCTTTGGCCAGTAGATGTAATTTGTTCACATCTTTCGTTTATGATCAAATACATGCAAAACAAATATCATTCCCAACAGCCTTACTGCCTGTACTGTGCTAAATAGCAAATGTTAGCATGCTAATGGTGTGTTCCATTTGACATGGAAAGTAGGAATTTCCAAGTTCAAGCAGGAAATTTCAACAGGAACGCCACCTCGGATTTCCAACTTGGAATGTCGGCAGAACCTCACCAACCCCGACCTCAAAATCCAAGATGGCTGCTACCGGAATCAACCAAGGGTGTAAGCGAGGTTTGGAACAGTGAAGCCGACCAAAGCCTACATGGAAGGTTCCACGGAGATCAGGGGAGGCTTACTGAATGGAAATAAAACAATATTACATTACTTATTGCATTAATTATCAAAAGGAGATCACATAGAGTAGCCTACATGTGTGAAAGTTCAGAGATACAGTAGTTTTGGGGAACTGTTTTCCCCCATCAGAGTCACTAATAAATGGCTTAGGACAGGCCTTTTTAAAACTATTTGGTGTAGTCAGAAGAACAGCAATATTAGGCTATTGTTGAGTGTCTATGGGATCAGATAATATAATCATGATCTCAAAGACATCAAGGAATTCCCCAAGCTTTGTCAGAGGAGAGGCCCGCAGTCTCAGACTTTAAAAACCCCTAGCTTAAATTATAAATTCTCCGTGAATCTAAAAGAACTACTTGGCCATCAGTGACACTGTCTTGGTTGTTTGACAGGTGAGCCTTGTATGTGGGCTGATTAAACACGATCCGAGTCAGACAATCACAGCCAAAAGACTTTTTGTTGGCGCAGCATAGTGCAGCTATGCAGCTATCAGAATTACGGTGTTTCTGCCGTTGCTCTTTGTCATTAAACCACGCTTATGCTGCAAGATTGTGCGCAGTAGGCAATGGTGCCAACAGGAAGTAGCCCTGTAGTAGTATTATTATATATAATAATAGTAGTATTATATTGTTCCAAAATTGGCTTCACTGCCCTCTCTTCAAACCTGGAGTGTGCGGTATCTTTGTCCAGTAATATCCAGTCTATGGAATCAACAGAAGTGGAAGCTGTAGTACATACTGTTTATCATACATATTTGTGTCTCATTAAATCAGCCATACACACAGTCCTGTCCAATTTATATCTGTAGGCATGTTGCAATGGTGTTTGTATGTGCAAAATACCACATTGTTATCAGCTGATATTGCTTACAAATGCCAGAGGTATCAATCTTTGTTTTCCAACTTAAATCTGTTATTCAACTGGTAACATGCTGGTAACATGGTAAACATTTTATCTGCTAAATGTCAGCATGTGAGCATTATCATTGTTAGCATTTAGTATGCTGATATTAGCATTTAGCTCAAATTACCACTAGCACAAATTCCATTTCTGTTAACATTGTGCTTGGTTTCAGTTCCGTTTTATAGATTGCTGTAGGTTAGATGGCAATATGGTAATATTTAAAATAATGCAGCAAGGCTTGTAGGTAGCAATAGAGGAAGTGAGGCTACTTTCTATTTTATGCATCTAAATATTTTGAGGCATTCATATGCACAGAAATTTTTAATTATCAGAATATACAATCAGGGCTAATAAAATCAATCAGGATATGAGATTCTTATTCATGGAAGACCTTTGACACACCTTTATCTTATGGTCTCTTTATTATATTCCTTTTGGAAATAATGTGGGTATTAATGTTTACAACATTAAGAAATGTTCATGGGTTTCTCACAGGCAATTGTGTCAGAAGTCATAAATGGTACTAAATCATAAATAAAGAATCATTAGAGTTTTAACGTTCTCAGATTTCATGCTGGAGGAGGATGCACATCAGCCTGAGAGATTTTGAGAACTGGGCAACCCAAATGTTGTGATTATTAAACTGATGAAATGGGCCCCTATTTATCAAGCTTCTCAGAATTACTCATAAGAACTGACAAAAATTCTTGTCTCAAAGCTGTGCTTAAAACTTAGTTATCAAGAATCATAGTCCTAATTTGAGTGAAGTGTAGGACTAAATCTTAAGTGTCAGTCTTAGTGCTGATTTACAACACTTTGCTGTGCTGCAAACAGGTTTTGGATGACAATGTCGCCAGGGACCAATCACTGAAGAGATTTCCTTATTTAAGAATATTCTCAGATAAATTCACATTGAATGGTGAAATTCCTAAGAGGAGTTTATATTCAACACACATTTAACAATAAAGAATTTTCAACATAAGACATATAGGCCTACGCATTAATAAATGAAAGATTTAAAACAGTCTATCTTTATATGAGCGCCATCAAATGCGCCTACTGCTCCTGTATTGTGGCTATTTGCATGAACTGTGTTTGCTTCTGTCGGATTAGGGGGGGTGTTGTTGGGAAGTCGATGAAACGCGTGACAGTGTGTGGAGCTGTAAGTGCTAAACTTGTTTCCATAATTATTCTGCTGATTGATGGTTGAGACGGGCCAAAATCATCAGCATTGCTGCGTTTGTCCTGTGGTAAATAAACGAAGCGTCATCATCAACTTCAATTTAACTGAAAACGCGTTACTGCGTAAAGTCAGTGGTGAGATGACGTCCCTCACCAACTCGCTGACAAAGTTTATGCCTGCGCTGTCCGACCCCGTCTTATTAACTGCGCGACGTCAGAATTCTTCCTCTCCTCTCTGCACGTCTCTGTCTCCACAGCGCCATCACAAGCCCTACTGGCCTCTCCTAACCACATGAGAGACCTCTCGAGCTGTCTTAAAGAACTGGGAGAGTAAGAGTGATAATTTGATAACTTGCATTTATTCTTAAGTTAAAAAGTAGGAGTAAATTTCATGAATTCTCAGCACGTAAGACTAAAATGGCACTTTGAGAAGCTTGATAAATACGGACCCTGATCTATAAAGCATTAGTGAATCATTTATATCATAGGGTTAGGTCCACAATCTTTCCAGTTTTCCGTGTTATCTGTAACCCCGGCTGGAAATCAACGGCCAGAAATGGCCATTTCCAGGACATGTGTACGCCACAGTGAGTGATGATTTACTAATGTGTAAAGTACTCAAGTATCAGAAACATGACAGCCATATAGATAAGTTAAAGGGGAAAGTCAGTAACCACTGTGCCTTTAATAACAGCATGAAATGATCTTTATTTGGCATGCAAAGGAAATCATGTGATGATAAGCGTCTCGGGTAGATGTAGTTTCATGGAAATTATACTTCGCTTATCAGTTAAGTATATCATTAAGAGTTTGTACTGGTACATTTATCAGGAAATAACAATCTCTCTCTCATGTGCAAAAAAGTGTGTTTGTGTGTACGTATATGTATTTTTAAAGCATATTTAAGCTCTTTTTGTGAGGCAAGACTCTGGCCGAAAGTCCAGTGAATATTGTAATGCCTTATTACACACAGTAGGTATGCAAAAATCTTTTTAAACACTGGGTCTGTTATGTGTGTGAATGCCAGCTCAGACAGTTGGTGAGTCAAATGCCAGCACAGGCTTTGCTGTTGGATTTACCTTGGCTGTATTGGTGTTTGCATGACAAGCCTGGGTGTACAGTCGGGCCCAGGGGTCAGCTGAAAGATGACCCTGGTTAGCGTCGTGCCCTAAATATGCTGTTAAGCATGAGGGGACCGAGAAGGTTCAGGCCCTGGGCCAAGTTTGGGTCTGTCCTCTTGGAGGCTGCAGATTGCCAAGAGATTATTCAATGTAAAGGGACTGAAGAAGGTCAGTAAGTAGGTGGAGGGGGGGCTATTTTACTTTCTATCTGCATTTTGCAATGTCATGTGAACTGCGTGGAGGATATGGTAAGAACTGTCATCACTTGTGCACACTGCAATACTGATTTTAATATATCTTTTACTTTTATATGTATTTTGTATAGATTTTCTGCGATTAATTGCATTGTTTGAAAATTGAATAATGAATTCTAAAGTAGTGTATTGTGCACTTTTAATTTAAACTGCTGTATACACAAAAGTGCAATAACATGTGCAAACACACTAAAAAACTAAGGTGCTTTTTAACAGCAGTATTCCCTTTGCACAGTAGCAATAAAATATTTCTTGCAGATCTCAACTTTAAACATTAATGTAATCAAATCAAATGTAAAATCAAAGCTATTTAACACTTCCAGGGCATTACCTTTTATAGTCCAGAGCCACGATCATAACATCATAACAGGCACCTTCTGAGGAACCGGTTCACATATATAAATCTGTTTTCTTGTTTGTTTGTTTTTCTACACAGGTATCAGCTTAAACATTTTTCTTTTATCAGGGAACAGCATAAACAGTCTATGTTCAGTAGCAAGTGTCCCTGTTATACTGAGTAGAGAATCTATTACTGTTTACTAAATAGGACATCATCAGGAGGGAATTCACCTGGCAGAGCATCCCCGCAAAACTAGATGTAGGCCTATCAGGTAAAGTTATGTAGCCTATAATTTTAAATGAACTTAAATAGGCTACAGCTGTGTAGCGCACGGAAGCTGTTGCCATGATTACTCTCCATAGAGCATCTGCCATTTACTCGCAGAGCACTTGTCTCCCTGTCTGTCTGATCACCAGAGTAAAGAGCGACCCCGTGGGGCCAAGCGACTACGTTGTGATTTTAAGAACGTTCCTAAGACCGACATCTTCCCCAATACTAATCACGCTGCAGTCATCAATCTGCAGCTACACACTGCATGATCTGCAATCATGCAGTGTGTAGCTATCCACTTCACTATGGCATTTGATCGCTTGTTTATCTACTTCTCCTACGCGCTGCGTCCAGCGTAGTCTGCCGAAGCCTCCCTCCGCTGCTTGTTTGGGTGGCTGATTTGCAGGCTGATCAACATCCCACCCTTCCTCTGACCCAGGGTTTGACTGTATGTGTATTCAGAGCCGGTGAGCAGCAGATTTTCAAAATAACAACGATAATAATAATAAAACCTGCGTTAACGTGAGATAAAAAAATTGTCGGTTATAATTGATTAATGCGTTAACACGATAATAACACGTTAACGTGCCCAGCCCTAATAATTTGTAATTAAATCTTTGACTTTGTAAAAAAAAAAAAAGGTTGGTTGTACTGATTTTTACATTTTTTTTTAAATTATAACAAAAACAATGAAGATATTACAATATAACAAAAAGTTATAAATGGGAAAATATTTGGCTTTCATAAAATGTCAATATATCAGTATATCATGAATATGCATACATGTATCTATCTATCTAGAATCTATCTAGAATTATCTATTGCGAGAAAAAGAAGCCCTTTTGTAAAATCCCATCTATTCCATATATCAAAGATAAATGAAAATGATCTCAGTAAACAATCCACTGTTATTTAGTTGCAATATTTATTAGTTTGTGCAGCAACAGAGAGGAAACCTAAGAATTGAACTGCTCTTTGCGATACTTGACACAACAGTGGCATCCAGAGCAAAAAGTTAGAATATGCAGCAATCTGTCAGGCAATAAACAAGCATGTGCTGCATGGTGCTTGCAGATCACAGTAATATTTGGAAACACATGCTGAATGGTACAAATATTATTCTTATACTTGCTGTCCACAAAACCCTGTGTTACTTCCTCTGCGCCCCTATCATTTCATGCAGTTGCACTATCCAGTACAATAAACATGTAAATCATCACATCAAGGCAAATCTGAAGGGTTGATCCAAATGCTGGTAACACAACTAAAAAGTTAGCAGTTTATATTTGCAAAAAACAATGTTGCTTTTAAGTCACAAGACACAAAATGTAATGGGTTCATGTCCAGGACAGCCTAACATAAGTATGTTATAGCTTTGGAAATTCATTCTTATAGCACTTTTTAACATTTTCTTAGAACAGAGCAGGAGCGTAAAGCAAAATAAAGCGACTTTGTTTTTAAAAAGCGAGGTCTAGTTAGATATTTCGACTATCAGGGAGAAAGTGTGAAAATCAAAAAAAAGTCTGTTATACTGCAGGCTAATTTTTTACCTTCGTTTTACCTTAGTCAGCGTCTCTCCCTCTCCTCTCGTACCGTGCAGGCAGAAGTGAGAGAGTAAGCTTTCTGTTTAAAATGTTAAAGTTTAAAGCCATGACATCCTCAATCATATCATCATGGTTATTTATTCAAACTTTTGAAAGTTCTCTCCTGGGCCACAGAAGACATATTGTTTTTACTCAGGTAAACTATCTGGTTTAATGTTTTATATTGTATATTTTACATTCTGGCAAGGCATACAAAAGCTATGGATAATACACAAATGCAGTCTGTTAGTTCGTATTAGGCTCATCCTCCATCTCGCCATTCCCAGGATTATTCCCAGAGGCACTGACTTTTTCTGCTGTCTGCTGCTGCCCAATCCCATGTAACTTCTTGAGCCAGTCCTTTTCCACATACTGTCTCACTTCCCCCACTGTGCACCTCTTTCCTGCTTCCAGAGCCAAGAGCTTACCAAACATCTCCATGGCTTCTGGTGTGAACCTTTTCCACAAAGGGGGAATGTCTTCCTCGTTTTTATGTCTTTCCTCTGTTCTACACCAGTCTGCAAACTCCTGGTAGAAGTCATCCGAGTCTAAGCAGTGCTCCCAGGGGAAGTAGCCCGTAAGGATGCAGAAGATGACCACCCCGAAGGCCCAGGTGTCCAGGCTTGGCTCCACACTAAGTGGAGGAGCAGTCACTTCTTTCTGGCCACCCAGCAGGGCCACGGTACAAAGTTCTGGGGCCATGTAGGGCAGGGTTCCTGTGATGAAGCGTATCAGAGTGCCTCTCTTCTGGGCCAGGCCAAAGTCTGCCAGCTTTACCTGGCAACAGTGATGGTCCAACAGGAGGATGTTTTCAGGCTTGACATCACGGTGGACCAAGCCATGGCTGTGGATGAATTCCAAAGCACTGGCGATCTGGAGGACACAACGTTTTACTGAAGATTCTGGGATACCCACCTAGAAAAATCGGTCAAAGCAGGGATAGGGCTTTTTATTTCATTTGCAAAGGTGTCAGAATAAAAAGTGATGACATTTAGCACTCATCACAAAGCACTGCATTACGAAAGAAATCTGTATTGCAATGAGCGTCTGGACCTCATGAATTCTGGATTTGGACAGTAGTAGGCACTAGTGGACTTCATTGGAGCGCCTGCTAAATCTGTTGTCTGACTTTGCAAGGGCAGTGAGGTCTGGACATTTGGATTCAGCCAAAACATTTCCGACCATACTATGCATGCCTTTGTTTTATAGCAACACTAGTGGCATGGCTCTAGGGCTGTTAATGTTCATGTGTCGGTTAGCAATAGGTTGAATTGCTATGGAAGTTGGGACAGCCATTCAACATACTGACTTTAGTGATCCTTTCACATTTCCTCTAGCGCCACCTTGAGGTTGAATTTTTTTTTTTTCCAGTGAAAAGTCTCAAGAACTCTTGGGTCTATCCAAGAGTTGCTGTGAACTTTGGCACATTTGGTATTCCTGGTGCCCACAGGATAAATCCTAATAATTTTGGTAGTGCCATCATCAGATCAAAATGTTCAGCATGTTAGCATTCTGACATGAGCATGTATCTCAAAGCACCAGTGTACGAAAATACAATCTTATCAAGGCTAACGTTGCTTTATTCTGAGTTTCTTAGTCTTATGTTGCCAATGTCTGACATTTGGCTCACCTTTGGCTGGATGACAGCAAACAGGTCTCTCCCAATGACAAGCTCCTGGGCAAAGCAGTAGTGCTCATTAGAGTGGAAGGCAATGCCAAAGAGGCCCACGATGCAGGGGTGGCAGGACAGGTGTAAGGAGATGCAGTACTCTCGCAGAAAGCCCTGTAGCTTAGTGGAGGCTTTGGGCATCACTTTCAAGGCCATGGGAGTCCCTGCAGATTATCCATACTTTTTATTTTCACTGTTCTTGCACATCTCAGCTAATGTAAAATATTTTATGATACAGAGAAACTCTCGATTGAAGTGCAGTCATACCCCTGAAGCGATGTGTGACCAGCAGCACTTTGCCGTATTTCCCCCGGCCAATCTCCTTGATGATGTTGAAGTGTTCCTGGATCTCCAGCTGATTGAGGCTCTGTGCCGTCAGCTCCATCAACTCGTCAATTAGGTTGCCATCAGCGAGACCCAGCTCAATCATCTTTACCCACACACACACACACACATACACACACACACACGCACACAGGGCAAAACCAACACACATACACACTTAATAACATGGTATAATTATAATTTCTTCTTTACCAGTAAGTAATGATTGCGTCCTGGTCTGGTTGACCTGATATGTAATTTCTCAGTTATAGATTCTATATACACAATTGTGTGAACTATACAGTGTGTGTAAAAGATAAAGAACTTATAGAAAATACATTATAATATATATATTATAAATATATATTATATTAATTTATAAGTTTTCATTTATGTAATATCCTGTCTTATATATACTGTAAGTTTCTGTTATGTTATTTAAAAGATTTGGTGACAAAATCATTCACTACATTGATCCTTCAACCATTGTTGGCATCCTGGTGGCCTAGTGGGTAAGATGTGTACCATCTAACTGCAGTGCCCCCCAATTGGAGCACCAAGGATGAAAGGAAACACAAGAACAGCAGGCTTACTTCCATTTTTATCTTCATTATTGCATATAATAGTGTGAATACTTATTCTTTCTTTCTATTTTCCTCTCTTTATTTCTGTTTCACCATACATAGTCAACTACAGACCATGTCTTTGTTTCTACTGCCCGCTTTGGCAAACACTTTTGTAGCCACAACAGAGACACAAGAAATTAGGATGTTGAACTCTTGAACCTCTGTCTATCCTTAACCTTGTCCAGCATTTTGTCCTCTGCTAATTGGACTATTTTTTAGTTTGCCATATTTTAAACTTTTCACTGCACATATAGCTATTGTATATGATAAATAAAACCTTCAATCCTTAATTTCTTGAATAAAAAAAAATAATGTGCATATAAAATCTGGAAAGACAGACGATTAAGTATTCATTTGTACATACTTGAAAAAAACAACTATTTATTTCTCTTTACTATTACCAGAAGTAGCATAATAGCATTAAATAGTAGCAGTATTGGATATAACTTCATATTAAACAAAATTAGATACTGATCATTTTCAAGTCTTACCTTTTTTTCCGTAGGTTCCCAACACAGTCACTGGAGTCTGAAAACAGGCCAACCAAACACACAAAAATGTCTTGCACACACTCACACCGCCATGCTTACATCTGACAAATTTGCAAATCAATTTACTGTGGAAGTGCAGGTTGAATTTCTGTCCTTTCCGTCCTCCACCTTTACTGCTGCTGCTGCAAAGATCAATGTGCTGAGTGGACCTGAGAGCTTTTCACTGGCCAGCACGCAACTCTGCTCTCAAAAGCTGCGATGGGGACAGAGCCCACTTTGACAGCTGATTAGCTGCCTCTGCAAAGGGCACACACACACACACACACACACACACACACTGGCCTACATACAGCCTGATCAGCTACACACGTGCATATCTTTGTACGTATATGTAATGCATATGCATTCAGAAAACACCGACATGAAGTTCCACAGTCACTACTGTATATGGCAACGTGGTCTCCAGATTTATGAGTCTGTCATTACTAACGTGAACATGTACACACACAATAGATTCAGATGTGCCTCTGTGACCCACAGCCTCCCCTCAGTGATCCCACCACTTTATATTAATGTCTCTGCTTACAGTACTGCCTGAAATTAGCATACCTGTCACACACATGGTGATTTTGGCCTTTCAACACAGATGCTAAATCTACACAGGTCCTGCAGGAGTGTCAGACTTATCCTGTCTGTCTGTTTAAGACTTTTGTGATTACTGTGCTGGATTAAATAAATAGTACAGACACTTACTTGCCACTAGAAATAAAAGATGTTATATTTTGTTTCTCTATTTTCGAATGCGAATTATACTATGACAATTGGTGGTGGGGTGTCAACTTTTTTCCAGGTCATAAGGAAACCCAGTACAGCGAACTAAAATCTTAGAATGCTTACAATATCCTTGCTTATCTGCAGTCTGTATAGGATGACCAAATTCAGTACACCAGTTCATAGGTGCCCCATACCACACAACAACCTTTGTAGTCAGGTTACCAAGTATTCTAGAGCAAAACTGCAAGCAAGTCAGACCCCTGTATTAACAGTAGACCATCATTTACACTCAAACACAGATTTGTCATATCTAATTCCTAATTCTTATCATTTCAAGTTCAAGTTTTACCTTTTTTTGAAGCAAATATCTCCTTCCCTCTTGCTCATGTTGACTGTGAATGCAAAGTAATCTGCGTTCAATAAAGTAGTAGTCAGACATTGTTGGGGAATTGGGAATTGTTGGCTATATGTAAATAATATTAAGCAGTGTGTGGTCTAGACCTGCTCTAAATAAAAAGTGCAATGAGAGGACTTTAGTTATGACATGGTGCAATATAAATAAAACTGAAACTGAATAGGCCTACATTTGAAATAACAAACCTGGATTTTAACATGTAACAACACAGCCAGGTAAAATTCCTAAATTTCACAATGAAAACAAAGGACTGCTTGTTCTAAAAAGACTCACAAAAGACTTAATAAACTCTTCATTGATGTCAAAATGTATCTCTACAATAACTAATACTCAATTTCACTGATTGCCTAAACACCAGTGTTAGCTAACTACTAGATAAAAAATATGACATTTTATAATGGTAATGAAACGATAGGGTGGGCTATCAGCTATCAACTTCGTGAGCTAACATTAGATGGCTCATTTTAAGTTAAAGAAAGGCTAATTATGAAACTCTGCAGGTAGAAAAGTTAAGTGTATTAAAGAAGCTAGATAACTAACTGCTGACATTAACCTACAGTGTCTTTGATGCACTGGACTGGAGCATCTTCAAGCGATGCAGACAAGACGTTCAACTAACGTCAAAGTTAGGAAATGGTGTCTGAAATCGTATTTCAAGATTCTTGAATATAAGGCATGAATATAGGAAATATATTGTAATTTCTGGGGGGGTCCAAACCTTAATTAGGGGGATCAGACCATCCGAATCCCCCCTGTAATTTGAACTATGATGCTACTTCATACTTATTCCACTATAGTTCAGAGGGAATATTGTACTTTACCAAACATATCTGGCAGTTATAGGTATTACTTTACATACAAAACTCATGGTCTCATACACTGTTCCATATTAAAATCCCTGAGTATATAACATTTAAACTTACACACCTGTGCAGTACCCCTGCTGTCTGATCAGCATCTTGATATGCCACACCGGTGAGGTGGATGGATTATCTCTGCAAAGGAGGCTGCTCACTGAAAGAAATAGGCCTTTTGTGTACATAGAGAAAGTCTTAGATCTTTGAGTCCATGAATGGGGAGAAAAACCCTCATGTTTATAATTTTGTTCAGTGTACATTTGGTCTGAATCCTGTCCTACATAATACATAATGTAGCATTATTTATTCTTATCTGGTGGAAGAAATTACAGAATATAAGTATTTTCTTGAGACCTCTGAACTTTAACTTTTATAGTTACTGAAGAGGAACAACTGGAAAGAAATCCTACCATGAAACAAGACAGGGGAAATAGTTGCCATGGCATAAAGGAAAATGAGGAAAACATGTCTAGTTAAGCTTTGAATATAAACTGGTATCTTACAGTATGTCACTTGCTGTTTTGCATCCTCACCACAAATAATCCACTTCGCTGTCCTCAATAAAAAGTGCAAGACATTTGTTAGCCAAGCTAACGGCATGGCTCTTAGGATGTCAGTGTCGGTCTGTTCATCGATTGGCTGGTTGGTCCATCACTTTGGTCCGTTAGATGGGTAGCCTTGAAATTTGGTGCAGCTGGTCACGGTCCTCAGAGAATGAATCCTACAGACTTTAGTTATCCCTTGAGCTTTCTTCCAGCGCCACCATTAAGTGGATTTTTTTGTTGTTGTTATTGCGTTTGTAATAGGCAGAGCCTGTGTGCTTTTTAAATTTTATAATCACCTCCATCCTTGCTCACAATATTGTTAATCATCTGTACTGTCTAGTAAGTAAAATCAAATGCATGTTGGTGGTGGGGAGGTCTTAAAGGTCAAACCTTCCAAGGGGCCTGAAGTGGAAGCCATGAATGCACTCAAGCTGTGGCACTCATACAGACACATCCCCTGGGGTGTTGCCTACAAGTCGGGCAGGCTTAATGGCGTGTTGTTGTCTGCACCTGTGTGCAAATAAGTGTGCCCCGATCTGTATGTTTGCATGTGTGTGTGTGTGTGAGTGTGTGTGTGTTTGTGTGTGTTGGCCTGTGTTTAATTTACTGTTAACTCACTCAACACTGTGACCCACAGAAGTTATTCTGAGAGCACCAAGCGTCCACAAAAGCATGGACTAATGATGCAAAGAAATGGATCCTTTAGTGTGTTGGCCTCTGCAGGCCTGTGGTGGGTTAATGAGGTTTCAGTCACTGCTGGCTTTCCCAAAAGCTACATACAAAGGTTTGGTTAAAAATAACTACTCTAAATGCTTTTGGGTGATCCATTCAAGTGAAGTAGCAGGACATTAGGATGGAGCACGGTTTTACATTTTCAAATGAGCTAATTATGGTCTACTTAAGACACAGTAGATCCAGCTATATATACACCATATCTATTTTTTCTACTACATGGATTCTAAAAGCGTCTGCTAAGACTGTAGCAATCCTCTCCAGTGCTCAGTTAGGCTGTGTAAGGCTGCCATCAGTGATTAAAGGTATGTTGTGGAGTGTGTTTTGAAGTTTGTGATCATCATGTTACGTTGTCACCACAGACATGGGGCCATGTCATATTTGGGATCTTTTACATCCCAGGATGGTGCAGAGTAGTCTACGAGGCGCCAGACAGGGTCCATATCCCAACTTCCCATCCCATCACGATACCTCTGCTGTCCTCGTGGTCTAACAGGAATGGAATTACAGAGCTGTGTAGACTGACAAACTAGCTCAGTGCAGGCGGAGTTCTAACTTATCCTTCGGAAACTTTTGAGATCATTTTTAAGAAAATACACCTGCAGCGTAGTCTCAGCTATCAGTTCAGGGATATCAGTGAGAAGAGTATAGTTATTTTCCACAATTAACATCAGAGAGGCATTCAAAACTTTCCTGTTTGACATGCAGTGAAAATGAAGCAACGACTATCAATTCCAAAACAAAGTGTAGGGAATATTAACAGCAAATGATGACTGCTTCTGCCTTTACATGATGGAAAGTTCATCAGGAGCAGTGAGGCAAATGTTACCAAAAGATCATCTGTTTTCTGCTGACATAGCCAAGTAGATCCTCTGTCTAATTAATCACTCACAATGTCTTCAAGTTCATAGTGCTCAGTCCTCTGAGGAAATCAGTGATCTGGGCTGTTACAGGAACACTTTGACATTTGGGAAACTATGCTTGTTTGCCATCTTACACAGTCAGACCTGAAGACTAATATCGGTTTTCAGCTCTGTGCATTCAGAACAGAGATAGGACGTGACAAATTTTGCTTAACTCAAGGCCTTGAAGCCAACGAAAACAGACCTGTTCCCTCAACGGTGAAAAAGTACGCATTACAGCAACTCAAACCCTTACAAAGCTTTCACACTGCTTTCCCTCTGAACAAGAATATATCCCAAAACATGCTTGATGATATAACAACCATATTTTCAATTATCAAGATGTTTTCCAATATATTTATACTTGGACAAACAACAACTTATTTTTGATTCTGAACAATAAACAAACATGATAACTATGGGCATAGGTGCTCTGGTGGACAGATGTCCCAGTTTCTCTGGGATTGTCCCGGTTTTAAGCTGGGTGTCCCGAGTCACAACAAATATCGTAATACTAAAATGTCCCAGTTCTCAACATTCACTACCAAATTATCCCATTTTCTACCACAATTAATACAATAATGATACTTATTTTCAGAGCTTGCAGTTCTGTCCCAACCATTACTTAACCCAATATAAAACATTAACAACAAACCAACCATGTTAAACACTAATTTGTATGTGTGCTTCATTGGTCAACGTGGTGTTGTCAAGGCTCTTGCTAGCCAATGAGTTACAAACAAGCGTCACTTGTGGCACTTTCTGACAGAAACAGTCAGTATGCTAACGGTTAGTTGTCATGCTGAAGAGAGCTCCAGGAGGCTTTCCCCTTCATCAAGTACCTGGCAATAAAACTTCTGTTCATGGCATTCATGGTGTTGAAGGGTGCGCTCAGTAGGTGTGCTACGCAGTGAAATAATCGTCCTAATAATTGTCCATCCTGATGAAAACAACTATAGTGTGTCATAATTGTATACATGTGCGTGCACGTGAATGTGCCCTTTTGAGGGATCGAAAATCTGGCAACCCTACTTTATACTATTATCTGAGACACATCCGTCAAAGTTCAGTGGCTATACTCAGAGTAC